AAATAGCTTTTACTATTTTGAGATACATTCCGTCAATACCCATCTTATTGACGGTTTTTAGCATAAAGGGCTGTTGAATTTTGTCAAAGGCCTTCTCTGCATCAATTGAGATAATCATGTGCTTTTTGTCTTTGGTTCTGTTTATGTGGTGAATTACGTTTATACACTTGTGTATGTTGAACCAGCCTTGCATCCCGGGGATGAAGCCTACTTGATCATGGTGGATAAGCTTTTCGATGTGCTGTTGCAATTGGCTTGCCAGTATTTTATTGAAGATTTTTGCATCTATGTTCATCATGGATATTGTCCTGAAGTTTTCTTTTCTTGTTGAGTCTCTGCCGGTTTTGAAATCAGGATGATGTTGGTCTCATAAAATGATTTGGGAAGAATTCCCTCTTTTTGTATTATTTGGAATAGTTTCAGAAGGAATGGTACCAGCTCCTCTTTGTATGTCTGGTAGAATTCGGCTGTGAACCCGTCTGGACCTGGGCTTTTTTTGGGTGGTAAGCTCTTAATTGCTGCCTCAAATTCAGACCTTGTTATGGGTCTGTTCAGGGTTTCGGCTTCTTCCTGGTTTAGGCTTGGGAGGAGGCAAGTGTCCAGGAATTTATCCATTTCTTTCAGGTTTACTAGTTTATGTGCACAGAGTTGTTTGTAATAATCTCTGAGAATGCTTTGAATTTCTCTGGAATGTGTGGTGATATCCCCTTTATCGTTTTTTATTGCATCAATTTGGTTATTCTCTCTCTCTCTTTTTTTTTTTTTATTAATTTGGCTAGTGGTCTGTCTATTTTGTTGATCTTTTCAAAAAACCAGCTCCTGGATTTATTGATTTTTTGAAGGGTTTTTTGTGTCTCTATCTCCTTCAGTTCTGCTGTGATCTTAGCTATTTCTTGCCTTCTGCGAGACTTTGAGTTTTTTTGATCTTGCTCCTCTAGCTCTTTCAATTTTGATGATAGGGTGTTAATTTTTGATCTCTCCTTGCTTCTCATGTGGGCACTTATTGCTATATATTTTCCTCTAGAGACTGCTTTAAATGTGTCCCAGAGATTCTGGTATGTTGTGTCTTCATTCTCATTGGTTTCGAAGAACATCTTTATTTCTGTCTTCATTTCATTGCGTATTCAGTCAACATTCAAGAGTAAGTTGTTTAGTTTCCATGAAGCTGTGCAGTTCTGCATTAGTTTTTGAATTCTGAGTTCTAACTTGATTGCACTATGGTCTGAGAGATTGTTTATGATTTCCATTCTTTTGCATTTGCTGAGAAGTGATTTACTCCCAATTATGTGGTCAATTTTAGAGTAGGTGTGATGTAGTGCTGAGAACAATGTATATTCTGTTGATTTGGGGTGGAGAGTTCTGTAAATGTCTATTAGGTTTGCTTGGTCCAGGTCTGAGTTCAAGTCCTGGATATCCTTGTTAATTTTCTGTCTCGTTGATCTGTCTAATATTGACAATGGGGTATTAAAGTCTCCCACTATAATTGTGTGGGAGCCTAAGTCTCTTTGTAAGTCATTAAGAACTTGCCTTATGTATCTGGGTGCTCCTGTATTGGGTATGTATATATTTAGGATCGTTAGCTCTTCTTGTTGCATTGATCCTTTTACCGTTATGTAATGTCCTTCTTTGTCTCTTTTGATCTTTGTTGCTTTAAAGTCTAATTTATCAGAGATGAGAATTGCAACTCCTGCTTTTTTTTGCTCTCCATTAGCTTGGTAAATCTTCCTCTATCCCTTTATTTTGAGCCTTTGTGTATCCTTGTATGTGAGATGGGTTTCCTGGATACAGGACACCGATGGGTTTTGTCTTTTTATCCAATTTGCCAGTCTGTGTCTTTTGACTGGGGCATTTAGTCCATTTACATTTAGGGTTAATATTGTTATGTGTGAATTTGATACTGCCATTTTGGTGCTAGCTGGCTGTTTTGCCCATTAGTTGATGCGGATTCTTCATTGTGTTGATTCTTTTTACCATTTGGCATGTTTTTGGAGTGGCTGGTACTGGTTGTTCCTTTATATGTGTAGAGCCTCTTTCAGGAGCTCTTGTAAAGCAGGCCTCTTGGTGACGAAATCTCTGAGTACTTGCATGTTCACAAAGGATTTAATTTTTCCTTCACTTAGGAAGCTTAGTTTGGCTGGATTACTCTGTTGATTTCTTTTGGTGTGCAAAAACTTTTTACTTTTTGGTTTGATGTTGTCCCACTTAATTACTTTTGTTCCTGCTGTCTGTACTTTTGGTGTAATATCCATGAAATCATTGCCAAGATTAATGCGATGAAACTTATCCCCTAGGTTTTCTTCTAGGAACTTTCTGGGTAAGAGATGTTAGGTTTAAGTCTTTAATCAATTTTGGGTTGATTTTTGTGTATTATGTAAGATAAGAGTCTAAAACCATTTTTTGAATATTAATATCTAGATTTCCTAACACCATTTTAAATTCAGTTATTGTGTTCTTTAGATCCATAATTTGTGTGGTATTTAACATTTTTTCTCTCTTGCAATTCTTACTTTGTTCATGTATTGTTCTTTTAACTGTGGTGAGCACGTTCATGAGAGTTATTTTTAATTCCCTATCAGGTAAATCATAACTCCTTTTCATTAGGATTAGTTTCTGGAGATTTATGTTGTTCTGTTGTATGGAACATCTTTAGCTGGTTCTTCATTTTTCCTTGGCTTTGTGCTCATGTCTGTGCATTAGAGAAAGCGGGTATCTCTCCCAGTCTTCATGGATTAGCCTCATACAAGAGAAGACACCCACCAATCAGTTGGCCATAGATTTAGCAGGCCTCTACCAACTTCTTCCCTCCCCAGGGAGATGCTGGCAGCTGTGGCTTTGTCTGCTTGCTCTGTGATGAGCTGGGGGTAGGGAACTATAGCATGTATCAGCCCAATCTGCTATCTGTGTTCTTCCCTAGGAGGCTAGCCCATGCTGGACCTATTAGAGCTTCAAAACTCATGAGACAAATGCTATTTCTCTGGGCTGCTCTAGAGAAGCTGCAGTGCTGGATCAACCTTTTCCCTCCATAGCGGGAGGCTGAGAACTTAATTTTCATCTGCTTCATCTATGCTGAGATGGGCACAGGATTAATTCCATCTATCATTCCAAACCAAGACTGGCAAGATAGGGGCCAGTATTCTGGGGACCTCAAAAAAGTTGGGGTGATGAATGCACATACCTAATCCCCTTTTTCCCATGGGTGAAGCTGGGAGCTAAGGGGTCTCTTTGATCACATGGCACTGCACTGGGGACAGCGTGTCTAGTAAGAGAGGGTCTCAAATCTCCCTGATAGCTTTGGTGAGCCTGGTTTTCCAATCCCCTAGGATGTGAGAACATTTCAATTAGTTTCTGATTTGTCACAAAGGGAACTGTTGCTGAATTGGTGTATTTATGGGGAGAAGGAGTGTCCAGGGTGTCCTACTCTCTCATGTTAGTCAAATTACATTGAAAGATATTTTATTTACTCACTGCATACTCATCAATTTACTACATCTATAAGTATCTATTCATTTAATGAGCTTATTCATGTAATCAGAAATTTTGTTGGAAACTGCTTGATTTTTAAAGGGTACTCTTCTTCAAGTTTGATCTTGACTCAAACTTACCCCTATAACTATGCTCTGAATGCTCTTTGAGATGTGCAAAATCTTATCACTTTGCTTATTTACTTTACATTTGTCAGTCTTGTTTGCTATTCATTAAATACATTAAGAGAAACAAATTTTAAAATTTCAACCATTTACTTTTATCTTAATAGTCTATATAGTCTTTTCTATATTTTTATAAAACTCTCTTTTATCCATCATGCCATTTCTTTATCAGTTTTCTTGGATCCAGTTTATTCTTAGCTTTGACTTGAAACCATGAATGCTTCTACCTTAGAAATTTTTAACATATTCTCTTGGAATAAACAAACATCCTTTCTCCATAACTTTCATCAAAATCATTTTGATTGTCTATAATAAAATAGGTACTCTGCGATATGTTAAAGGATGATATAATTCCAATTCTAGGAGGCATACTGAAGAAGTACTGAATAATTATGATCCTAGGTTAAAGCATGAATTCCATGTAGAAATATATTAAATTAAAAAATGCCTTTCTTAACTACAGAAATCAGTAACCATTCTGTTCTGGAGTGCTAATATCTTAAAACTCTAAGAAATATATTATCAGAAACTGTAAGTTATTAGACATTTCAAATGTTAACAGAATAGGTACAGATTGGTTTAGTAATTTTTTACATGGTTAAAAAGAAAAATTTTTAAAGTAGAATAAAACTGGATACTTACTTTTGGTGGCACAACTCCATTGTTATACAAAGACATTTTTATTAGGTACTAACAAGAATTAGCAGAGTAACTAAGCAAAAATGAAGAAGGGAAAGAGAGAGGAATTACCTGGAGGGTCATAATTTTATTATTCAACAATGAGGTAAAAATAACATTCCAAGAAAGTAAAAAACAAAACAAAACAAAACAAAAAACGAGAAAACAAAACAAAAAAACACAAGTGAGACAATAAGAAGGTAAAGAGCAGAATTGGGAAGGCTAATTCTATTCATTTTAGGAAAAACTTATAGGGAAATTTAGGAGTGCCATATCAACACATGGTTCTTAGTTTCCTAAAATTTTTTAGGAAATGGGCTATTAATTCATTAAACAATTACACTATTCTTATTAAATATCTGGCAGTGTGTCAGATGAAATAAAAAATATTAAGCATATGCTCTACACTTGAAAAGCTCACTGTCTAGATTAGTCTAAGGAGATTTTACTAAGAACCCTAAGAGGATTTCCAGATTAAGACATATTTCAGAGAGATGTTAGATCTCCAAAAGGTACTGTAAACTGTGTCATGCTATCAAATGAGAAAGAAGAAGAGAAAGAGAATACTGCCTATCTAATTTCATGCAAAATGCTTTCTTGTTGATTTACATTAACATAAATAAATATGATGATTTATAGGGACAATTTCTAGTTTACATAAGCAAGTAAACTTACCACTTCCATGTTCTCATTAGTAACATGAAGTCGCTTGGTCAGTTGTTGAAAATCGAATAGCTGATGCTACAGTGGGGGAAGATAGAGGAGTGTATAAATAGCATTTTGTTGTTTGTAACCCATATTTAAAATTAAACTAAAATCAAGTCTAAAATCATTATGCCTAAGTTTAGATAAAATTAGCAATGTTTCTTCTTACTGCTATTGTGTGAACTGGTAGTTGAAAAACTAAGAAATTTTAAAAATGATTAAAAAATTAAAGTGACAATGTTGAAACTAATGTAGCTGTTTATTTTATGTCAAATAATTATTTCTAGAAATCAATTATTAAATATTGTTTTAAAACTCAAAGAAATATATCATAAACAATTATAAGTGATTAGAAATTCCATATGCTAGAGAAGCCTTGTACAATGTTGGAAGGTCACCTTCAAAGCTACTCAAAACCTATAATACAAACCATGGCACAGGAGTTACTACCCATCCTTTTTTAAAAAAATTCTCATGCCCCACATTTAAAAAATTGTTTGATTAGTTGTTATGATTCTATTAAACGTTATTGGTACAGATGACACGAAGTTGGGAGAGACTGTAAATATACTGAATGACAGAATTAAATAGATAAACAGGGAAAAAAGAATGAAGTGTTATTTATAAAGTCTTGTGTAAGGACCCACCAAACTATATTGCTATTGTAAAAGAATGATATTATTTAGGTGAAAACAAAACAAAAACCCAGCCTCGTGAGCTTAGCTAATTGACCTAAATGAGGAAACAGCCCTCTAAGAGCTTTAATATGAAAAATGATTTTTAAATCTCAGAGGTAAAAGTCAAATAAATCGGACTGATTACATGTGGACTTTTTTTCAAGCCAGAGCACATATAGAAAAATCATTTTGTAAACTATAAAACATTATGTAAGTATTTTTGGAATTTCTTTAGGTAGAAATTTCAAATTATGATAATAGGAATATTCATAAACCAGAATTTAAAAAGTCTGTAAACAAGAGTTGAAGAGAGGTATGATAACCAACTTATTTAAAGAGGTACCTCTGAAAATACATAGAAAAGAGGTCAGAATTAGAATTCCTCTATAGTGCTCAATGCACCTAGCAATAAAAGAACCAACAGAAGAATAAAAGAGGTAGATTTCCCAATGGAACAGATGGTCTTGTGAGATAATGAGCTCTTGTCAATAGACGCGTAAAGCAAAAGCTAAAGCTAGATGTCCACTTTGAAAGAGTGTAGAATGATTCTTGCTTTGGATAGAAAAAAATCTTTAATAACCATTAAGATTCCTTCCTATTGTAAAATTCTATTTTGATTAATTTATGGTAGGCAAAGTTGATACCTAATTTAGTAATAGGTCACATTTAAGGGTGTTAACATTTTGATTTTACATAGTGTTCTCACTGTATTTGAGTAGGTTTCTTCACTGGCCATAAACTAATGAACAGTTTTGTTTTGTATTAAAAGTCAGGTAGGAAATCAAGCAAATAAAAACTCTGAAGTCTATTTATACAAAATAATGTTATAGATGCTCTTTAGCACTCAATTCAGCTTTCACTGCTGACAACATTATAGAACCAAATGTACATTGTCCAGTTCTCTATTTATCTTACGTGTTCAAGAGTGTAACCATCAAAGATCTATATATTATTAATATAAATAATAAAGTGACTTGAAATTCCAAATGCTAGAGGGTAGAGTCTTAGGTGCTACCTTCTAAAACAGTTTTTTCAGAGTGTAGTTTCTTGTTGATATACAAGAAAACAATGAAATCCAAGATTACCTTTTGTTTTTGACTTTCAAATACATGTATTTGGGCCTCAGTCATATGTTCCTGGTAAAGCTTGTGTAGTCTGTCCATCTCCTGAGAAACAGTTTGCCAGAGTTCCACAGCCTGAGTTTTTTCCTATTAAAAAAATTTGATAACTCATTAAATTATCAGCAGGCTATTTATTGTATAGTAAAAATGGATCACTTTCTTTTATAGAATAAGTCTTATAAAGTCATAAAATAAAAATAGAACTGTCTAATGATGGTATTATAGTTGTAATATTTTTCATATGAAGTTTTATTATTAATAATTTAGAGAATAAACCTGAAGACATAAAGTTCCTTATTTTCAAATTGTGTTTTTACTCAGATTTAGCTAAAATTAAAATCCTTAACAGAGATACAGCTTTAAACTATGTTCTTTGTTCTACAAAAGTGTAACTCCTAGAAACTGATGAAGAAGAAAATTACCCTCTGGTAAAGTACAATATTTTTTTCCTGATTGTAAAAGTAACAGATTTTCATTGTGGAAAATTAGGAATATACAGAGAAAAACAGGAGAAAATCAGAATCACCTATAACATTACTATCTGATAATAAACATTGCTAATGTCTAGATACAATCATCTTCTTAAATACTGATGCATTCATGTTTATAAATATGATTCTGGGGAGAATTTTAAAATTCTTTTAACAAAATTAGGGACCATATAGTGTGCTGTATGTACTACACTATTTTTACTTGCCATTTTATAATGAGAATTTTCTCAGGTCATTAACTATTGTTTGCATACAGTATTATCAAAGTGTGGTACAGGAACTCTTAGACTTTGAGAGGTCCTTGAAGTCAAAACTATCTTCAGAATAATATGTTAACATTTTTTGCCTTTTTCACTCTCATCCTCTCACAAATGTACAGTGGAGTTTTCTAAAGTGATGTCATCATTGTTCTGTGGGCTAATGGACTGCATGTTTATGCTCTCACTTTTTTTTTTTTTAAGTCTCAGTTTTAATTTGTAATACAATAAATACTGATAGATATGTAACCCACAACAACATAAGGCTCCTTGGAGTCTACTGAGGTATACCACGCATTCAGAAAATGAACAAATTGCACATTTTTCTAAAGCAAGTGCACTCATGTAACCAGCACCTAGCTCAAAAGAGAACATTATTACCATCACCTAGAAGCCCGATGCCCCTCTTGTGACTTCTTCCAATTACTACACTCTTCACCCTAAATAACATTTCCTTGTGTTCCTTATCCATACATAAGTTTTATCTAAAACTTAAAAAAAAAACTGTAGGCAAATTAAAAATTTTACAAGTTGTTTTAAAATTTGTAGATAAACACAGAATCTGGAGTCAAAGATATGGGTGTGATCTCTAATTCCTGGCTAAATTGTCCTGGATAATTCACTTCATTTACATAAGACTCAAATGTTCTTTTCAGTAGAATGGTCATAAAAATGCCTGCTACCTCAAAATGACCTACTGTTTCCCCAGACCTGTCTGATGAGAAAAATCATCTACACTAGCAGTTACACAACCCAGATTCTTCTAGAGCAGTGCTTCTCAAAGGACGAGCATCATAAGCAATACCTCAGAACTGTTAGAGATGGAAATTATTGAGCCCTATCCCAGACTTAATTGAATAAGATACCGGGGTAGAGGTGGGGGGAAAGAGCAGAAATCCATGTTTCAACAAGTCCTCAAGTGGTTATGCTGTACAATATATAATTTTTTTAATGGTACAACTTACCATTTTGACAAACTACAATTTAAATGATTCCATATTTAAGATTTTTAAACTATCTCAAATTTTTCATTATAATAATTATAATAAACATATTTATTCAAAGATTTTTATACTCAGTTCTTTAGAACACATTCATAAAAATCTATGTGGTGTCATCATCTTATTACTGGATCAAATAATGCACACATTTCTAAGGCTCTACTTGCCACACTGACTTTTAGAAAGATTTTTACAAATCATACTACAACAGAACAAAATATTTTAAACTAAAAATATTAAGCTAGGTATTTAGTATTGTGCTATTGCTACTGGCTCCTAAAGCAAGATATTTATACTACCAGAACATTTTGCACCTAATTTTAATTCTTATTTGTCAGTCTTGCTGTTCTGTAATGATGATAATGATAAGGATAAACAGGCAAATTTATTAACTTAATATGTGCTAGACATATAAGCCTAAATTAATTTCTATTTACTCCTATCCAATCAATTATAAATCTTTCCTAGTCTAGAACAAACAGCATGCTTTCTTCATCATTTCTTTCCTTCATCACATTTAAAAATTCTTTCCATTCATACATTAAAAATAATTAGTGTTAAATACATGTTTCTTATCAAGCTAAATACAGCCTTTATGATTTGCCTAAAATATCATTTTCATAATTAAATAAATTTAAAACCAAATTTTCAAGAAATAAAACTGAATTTTCAGATAATTATCAAATCAAAATTATAATTTAGAATTTGTAGCCCCCATTTATAAATGAGAAAATTGAGGTGGAAAAGATTTTTCTACGATCACACAACTGGAAAGTAGAAAAATGGGAATTTAAACCCAGACAAGATAAAAAACATTTGGGATATAACATTATAAATTAAAATAAAACTCCCTTATGTGTAAAATCAAAAAAAAATTACAGTTGAAAAACAGGATATATTTAACACAGCTTCTCAAAGATTCTAATTACTATGAGAGAAAAAGGAGAAAAAATATAATTCTAGAAGAAGTATAAAATATATTACTATTTATATATTCGAAAATAGAAAAAAACAATACCAAGAGAAAGAACAACAAAAAATACAAATTTAGAGAAATAACTGATTTTTTTCCTTTAAAAATTTAAACTGACATTAAAATATTCTCTATATAAGGAACTTAAACAAATTTACAAGAAAAAAACAACCTCATCAAACAGTGGGCAAAGAATATGAATAGACACTTCTCAAAAGAAGTTATTTATGCGGCCAATAAACATATGAAAAAAAGCTGATCATCACTGGTCATTAAAGAAATGCAAATCAAAACCACAATGAGATACCATCTCACACCAGATAGAATGGCGATCATTAAGAAGTCAGGAGACAACAGATGCTGGAGAGGATGTGGAGAAATAGGAACAGTTTTACATTGCTGATGGGAGTGTAAATTAGTTCAACCACTGTGGAAGACAGTGATTCCTCAAGGATCTGGAACAAGAAATACCATTTGACCCAGCAATCTCATTACTGGTTATATACCCAAAGAATTATAAGTCATTCTACTATAAAACACATGCACACATATGTTTATTGCAGCACTAATCACATAGCAAAGACTTGAAACCAACCCAAATGCCCATCAATAATAGATTGGATAAGAAAATGCGGCACATACACACCACGGAATACTATGCAGCCATAAAACAGGATGAATTCATGTCCTTTGCAGGGGACATGGATGAAGCTGGAAACCATCATTTTCAGCAAGCTAATACAGGAACAGAAAACCAAGCACCGCATGCTCTTACTCATAAGTGGGAGTTCAACAATGAGAACACATGGACACAGGGAGAGGAACATCATATACTAGGGCCTGTCAGGGGGTTGGGGGTCCAGGGGAGAGAGAGCATTAAGAAAAATACCTAATGTAGATAATGGGTTGATGGATGCAGCAAACCACCATGGCCCATGTACACCTATGTAACAAACCTGCACGTTCTACACATGTATCCTAGAACTTAAAGTATAATTTAAAAAAGGAAAAGAAAAAGAAAAAAAATTCCTATAAGAAAAAAAAAAATCCCATCAAAAGTTTTATGATTTAATTAAACACATTTGTAACAAGCAGTGAGAGTATTTGGCAAGTACATTTATAACAGTGAGAGAGTTTATTGAAAGTTTTGCTACCTGTAACATTCTTGTAAACCCTAGAAAATCATGTTACAATTTGGTTATTCTGATATTCATAAATAATAATTTAACATGATTTTTTAAAAGGTATGTTAATTCAGAATATAATTTTTTTAAATTGCATTTTAGGTTTTGGGGTACATGTGAAGAACATGCAAGATTGTTGCATAGGTACACACATGGCAGTGTGATTTGCTGCCTTCCTTCCCTTCACCTATATCTGGCATTTCTCCCCATGCTATCTTTCCCCACCTCCCAACCGCCCGTCCCTCCTCCATTTCCCCCTAACAGACCCCAGTGTGTAGTGTTCCCCTCCCTGTGTCCATGTATTCTCATTGTTCAACACCCGCCAATGAGTGAGAACATGCAGTGTTTGATTTTCTGCTCTTGTGTCAGCTTGCTGAGAATGATGGTTTCCAGGTTCATCCATGTCCCTACAAAGAACACGAACTCATCATTTTTGATGGCTGCATAATATTCCATGGTGTATATGTACCACACTGTTTACAATAGCAAAGACCTGGAACCAACCTAAATGCCCATTGATGGTAGACTGGACAGAATATAATTTTTAAAAATACACGTCACTTTCTCTGCACATCTCTGACCAAAAAAAAAAAAAAGAGGCAAAAAAAAAAAAAAAAAAACATGTCACTCACTTCATTGGCTAGTTGCAATTGTTCTTGAAGGTTTCTGACTGTTTCATCATCTGCATATATATCAGTTCCTATCACTGTGCCTGGAGGAAAGGCCTCCAATTGTTTTTTAACAGCATCTTTTAATTCACTGTGCAACCTTTGAAAGAAAACAGTTAACATGATAGTGTCAATTCATTTTAGTAATTACTGTGTTGAGGTCAATTAAATAAACATTTGGGTCAAAAACAATTCTTCACATGAAACCATTTTAAGTAGACTTAGAATAAAAAATCTTAAGTGTTTAATTACCATTAAATATTGTGCTATAGGAATAAAAAGATTATATCACAATTTCAAATACATTAAATTGATCACAATTAATTCAAGCATGACTCAGTTTGTCCTAGAGAGATTTTAATTTTTCAAAAGAGCAAAATTCAGATATTATCCCTCATTAAATGATAAAACAAGCCATTCAGAAAAATTCTAAAATATCTAAGCAGTTTCATCCAGTCAATTAAATGAAAATTGTATATTAAATCTTATAGAATTATTTGCTATTTTCTTCAGTGTATTTCACAAAACTTACTGGACTTCTTACTAATTTCAGTTAACAAACAAAGAGAATAAAATGGTTGCTGGTTATAAAACCAAGACATCAGAAGCTTTATTTTTCAGCACATCCTTATATAAGCTCAACAATAATACTGAAAGCCTTAAATTCAACTTTAATCTTGACATTAAGGTAAATTACAGATATTTCATGCTTTAAAACAACAACAACAACAAAAAAGAGGAAGGACAACTTAAAAGGGTGACTGTTTTAATTTAAAGTAATACATACTTCAGAGAAAAAATTTATATTATCAGAAAACATTCTTATTTCATGTAATTATAAACAGAAAATATTTATAGTAAATATATTTCAAAGTTAAAATTACAAAATAAACTATATCCATCTACCTAAAACATTGAGGTGAATGATCTACTAATATTACAAATCTCCTTTGAAACTAGAAAACTTAAATCTTAATGTCAGAACATATTTATTGAAAACAAAGTTCATCAAGTACAATGAAACTAAGGAGATAAACATTTTAGAAACAAAAATGTAATTACTCTCTAAAGAAAGGACAGAGCTTGCAAATTATTCTCTAATTACAAAAACTTATAAGTACTGGTCAACACAAAAGTTTTTATTTTTAAATATCTAACAGTGTTTTAAAAAACACTTATTTTTCCTGTATAAAATATTTACCTAATAGAGAAAATGATCAATATAGAAATATAACACGTTTTAAAAAAGATTCTCGAAGTCCTAGAGAAAAAAGTCATTATTAATTCTAAAATATATTTTCTTTTTTAAAAAATTCCATAATATATTCACTAGCAGAATTTTTACTTTCCATTAAAAATAGGCTAACGACATATTGTATTGCTAATACTATAATCTGTCTTTTAACTGTTATTGAGACATATGCATTCTCTAATATTCCAAAAAATTTTCTGTAAATATTTTAATGACATATTATTCTATCATTTTCATCCTATAGTTATCTGCATAATATATCAATTATCCTAATCCTTTATATTGATTGTAAAATGAAATGAAAAAATAGTAAAATTAATATTCAGTACACTGTATTTAAAATATCAGAAACACTGAGCTGTGTCTTATTTGTTAAAAATGTAGTTATAACCAGCAGTATAATTATAACCAACAGTAAGACAGTTTTTAAGTGTCTTAACAAAATTTTTAAACGTCATAGAAATATCATAATTGTACCCTATTGATTACTAAGATAATTTCGCACAGTTTCTGCTTGCAAGGTCATTTTTATCGTCTTGCACTTCATGCAAAGGAGGGACTATCTATATACATAGTTTAATTTTGTTTGCTTCAGTATCTGGAATACTTGGGGAATAGTTGTGTAATCTTGCTGTTTGTAATGCTTGCTGTCTCTCACTGAGTGTGCTCTGATCCTGAGGTGTTATATAATTTGGGGTTTAGTTTGCTGTCCTTTTTCTAATTTCTTCAGCAAATTCTAAGACATCACTATTTTTTGACTTTCTTTTTTAATACATACACTTAAGATTACAGCTTTCTCTGTAAGAATCACCTTAGTGGCAACGCCAAAGTTTTTGTTATTTTCTTTATTAATCAGTTGAAAATATTTTCTAATTTTCACCGTGAGTTCTTTGACCTGTAAGTAACATTTAGAGGCATATTGCTTAACTTAGAAAGAGCTGGAGATATTCTAGTTACCGTTTTGTTACTGATTTCTAGCACAATTTTCACTGTCATCAAAGAAAATAATCTGAATAATTTCTATCATTTTATAATCTCTGAGAGTTGCTTTTTTGAGTTGATCAATTTCAGAAATTTATCATTGTGTACTTAAAGAATGTATATTCTGAAGTTATTCAGTATTAGTATTCTGTATATGTCCCTTAATTTCTTAATTACATTATTAAAATATTACATCTTAACTTACTGCTTTTTTTTTTCAGGTTGCTATTTTACTTGCTGAGAACAACCTGCTCAAATTTCCTATTATAATGGTGCATTTGTCTGTTCTGCCATTCAGTGCTATCACATTTTACATTCCGAGTCTTTGTTATTGAGTGCTTACCAATTTAAAACTCTCATATCTCTGGGGCAAATATAATTTTTATCATTATGAAAGCTGCCTTTTAATCTGTAATCATCTTTTCCCATTAAATTCTACTATGTCTGTTATTATCAGTATGTTTTTAGTTAGCACTTCCATGATATACATATTTTCTATCCTTTTATTTTCACCCATTCTGTATTCTTTTGTTTTAGGAATCTCTTTGATTAAAAGCATATAATTATGGGTTCATTTAGTCAATCTCTGGTAAATCACTGTCTTATAATTATAGCATGTAGTACAGTAAAAATGTAATTACTGAGGTACCTGGGTTTATATCTATTACCTTAGTATGTACTTTCTATTTGCCTTGCCTTAAAACAAAACGAAACATTTCTCTCTCTTTTTTCCTATTCTCTTTGCTTATTAACTGGAATTAGTTACATTTTATTATTCCACTTTCCCACTCCATTAGCTTGGAAGAGATAGAATCTTTTAGTTTACTGTAGTGCTCAGCCCAGACGTCATAACATGCATCTTTGAGAATTGCCACCCTCTACTATAAACTAGTATCCTATTTCTAATGGATAATGTCAGAACCTGACAATACTTCAACTCCATTTACACTCTTCCTAAATGTATGGTACTGCTGGCTCATATTTCAAGTCTCCTTAAACATTTTAAAGCCATTATTATTGTTTTTAGAAGTTTATATTCATTAGATTTTCTCCCATATTTACCCTCTCCATAGTTCTAAACTTTATTCTAGAATTATTTTTCCTTCTTTTTTGGGATTTGGATTAATTCTGCCAATGTTGATTTTCTCAGTTTCTTTTCATCTGAAAATGTACTTATTTAACCCTCCCTCTTGAAGGACATTTCACTGAGCACACAATTCTTAGTCGACAGTTTTTGTTTCTTTTCAGCACTTTGAAGATATTCCATGTCTCTAGATTTCTATCACATCTGTAGAAAAGTCAGCTATCTTATTGCTATTCCTTTGAGGATAATATCTCTTTTGAGACTTTTTCTTTGATTTTCTAGATTTTTTGCATTAACATGCTTGTGCTGTATGGCGTTTCTTTAATCCACAGATCTTTTGCTAGTTTTGAAAATTTGTCTTTCCTGTTCTCTCCAAGATTCAAATTACATGAATTTTAGTTCTTTTCACTATTACATTCTGTTCCATATTTTCTTTTAAAAATTTTGAGCTTATTTATTTTTTTACATAACTTTTAAGTCCAGGGGTACATGTACAGCTTTGTTATATAGGTAAACTTGTGTCACTGGGGTTTGTTGTACAGATTACTTCAGAGCCCAGGTATTAAGCCTCATACCCATTGGTTATTTTTCCAGATCTTCACCCTCCTCCCAACCTCCACTCTCTGATAGGCCTTAGTGTGTGTAGTTTCCCTCTAAGTGTCCATGTGTTGTCATCATTTAGCTCCCACTTATAAGTGAGAATGTGAAGTATATGCTTTTCGGTTTCTCTGTTAGTTTGCTGAAGATAATGACCTCCAGCTTCATCTATGTTCCTGCAAAGGACACGATCTTGTTCTTTGTTAATGGCTGCATAGGATTCCATGGTGTATATGCACCATGTTTTCTTTACCCAGTCCACTGTTGATGGGCATCTAGGTTGATCTATGTCTTTGTTATTGTGAATACATGTTTGGATGAACGTGGGGGTGCATGTGTCTTTATGGAAGAATAATTTCTATTACTTTGTCATACATCCAGTGATGGGATTGCTGGGTTAAATGACACTTCTGTTTTGAGTTCTTTGAGAATCCAAACTTCTCTCATCTAGTGGCTGAACTAGTTTCTATTCCCACCAGCAGTGTAAAAGTATTCTCTTTTCTCTGCAACCACACCAGCATGTTATTTTTTGACGTTTTAGTAGCCATTCTGATTGGTGTGAGATGGTATCTCATTGTGGTTTTGATTTGTATTTCTCTAATTATCAGTAAAGTTGAGCTTTTTTTGATATGCTTGTTGGTCACACGCATGTCTTCTTTTGAAAGTGTTGGTTCTTGTGCTTTGCCCATTTTTCAATGAGGTTCTTTGATTTTTCTGGTGAATCTAAGTTCTTAACAGATGCTGGATATTGGAACTTTGTCAGAAGCATAGTTTGCAAAAATTTTCTCCCATTTTGTAGATTGTCTGTGCACTCTGTTGATAGTTTCTTTTGCTGTGCAAAAGCTCTTTAGTTTAATTAGATTCCGTCTGTCAATGTTTGCTTTTGCTGCAATTGCTTTTGGCGTCTACTTTTTTTTTTCCTTCTGGCTTTGAGAAAGTGGTGTCTTCTTAATAAAAATTTTGCCCATTCTTATGTCTAGAATGGTATTGCTTAGGCTGTCTTCCAGGGTTTTTATATTTTAGGGTTTTACATTTAAGGTTTTTTT